AAGCAGCCGCGTGCGATCGCGATCTGATGCTGTTTCGATAATTCCTGAAGAGGATAATAGAAGAATGTGTTACGTTATTTTTTATTTTATAATATTTTGAGCATAGGTATGAGACATCTAATTACTCTAATTATCTCGAGTTAAATCATATTTCTTTAATATTTCAATATTAATGCTCCAAGCAATACTATTTGGTTTACACGAAAAGAATGGTCCTATTGAAGTAATTAAAAGTTTACCTAGATATAGATTTGAATATATATAATTTTATTGAACTATTAGAATAATTATTCTTTGAGTGCAGGACGCTCAAACTGGAATGCTCTTGCTAGAATGGCGAACTTTTTGCAGCATTATCATCACGACTGAGCATCCTACATAATTATTTAAATAGTCCAATAAAATTATTTTCATATCTGTATCTAAATAAATTTTAAATAGATACTTTAACAACCATTTTTTCTATATAGAATATTTGAGCACTGACAGCACTATTTATAATCAGAATCCAGATCAATCACCTTTACCTTATATCCTCGAGATCGAATGTGGCGATGGTCACTTCCACGTCTTCAAGAGCGAATTGTCGTCCGCGATTTAATATGTTGCCATTGAGCGTGATGCTGGAGCCACCATTGAAGTATAGTCTGCCACCGTCACATCCGCGCAAATTGCTGAACATGTAACAGCCGCCAGCCTTGAAAGTAGCTGACTTAACGAGATCCACGGTGATGTAAGCTTTGCGTAGCTCAAAATATGAACCGCTTCCTTCCGGAAAAAAAGGAATGAAGAAAAAAATAGGGAGACAGTTTTCAAAATAAACATTTGATCTAATCTTTTATTCTTTTATCCTTTAATTTACAAAAAAATGTAATTTCAATCTTCATTAGAGGAATAAAAAAAGAGTAGAAAGCAAAAGAACGGAAAAAGAGAGAAGTCTAGGCCGGCATTTACATTTAGTTCTTAAATTTACATCTTAATATTTATTTCTCTTATAAGATTGTCTTAAGTATAGTTTTAAGGTGTCATAATTAATCACAAAACTATTAATTAATTTTAATACATTAGTTAAAACATCTTGTAATAAGAACGGACTATGAATACCGGCCTATTCAGTCAATTGTAATGTCAAATACATTTCGTAACAATGGCATTACCATTCGCGATAATTTCCACGCCGTCTAATGACATCGGAATATGTTTACTGGCTGGATGCCAAAGTTCCTCACATATTTCGAAACCTACGCAGGTATCCCTCGTCGCGATGACCGCGTCACCAAACGGCACTACGGTCTGACCGGTGAGTTGCGATATCATTAGCGGCAGAAAATAATCTTCGACCGTACGTTCCTAACATAACAAGAAACCATGGATTATCGTAAATCTTGGACATGCATTATGATCGATCACGGTGTTACCCTTATATTTCATTACTTTGGTCCAAGGAGAGAACCATCTGGTTTCCCTGTAGTTGCCATCCTCGCAAAGCCGCATTTTCGGCCTGATCAGCAAAATCCGCCGATTCAGAAAGGCTACTCTGCAGTTATATGTCACGTTCTTGTGCATCACCGGCATACCCACGTCTATCAATATATCCTCGCAAACACTGGATTTTAGAAGGGTCGCTAAAACTTCCCAGCTATGGAGTAATGTGTCTGATTCGTAGAAATGATCCTCGCAGCTGTAACCACTGTTAAATAGACATTTTGTGAAGATATATAATTGCAACAAAAAAACATAATAAATAATAGAAGTAATAAAGAGAGAATTAAATATAATTTCATAAATTATAATTTCACAATTATATGAAGAAAAAAAAATTCTAATCTCATTATAAAAGATATATTTTTCCAATAGGCAGCTGACAACTACTTTTTACGGATAACAAGATCAGTTTTTTTCTTCTAATTACCAAATTTCTAACTCGGGACCGCTCCTGTAAGTGGCATCAGCATCCTTCGCCTCTTGTATACTCTGCAAAATTCTCCTGGTATTTCCATCGAAATCCATCGCCCATTGGTTCAACGTGCACACGGCGACGGTCACTGTACGTCCCATGTTGAATAAATGTTCACCGTTATTCTTAAACGAGATTCTCGAATGCACTTATCTGGAATAAATAAATATACATTACTTTCAACTTCAATCACAGTTAGTGTCGCAAGTTTTATAGAATTACAGTTGTGCAAAATTGTTTTCTCAATTAATAGTTTTGATTATTCAATATTTTTTAGAAAGATTATTGAACGCGATAATATCGAAGTGATTTAAAAATTATACTGCAATAAACAAAAAAAAAACACAAATCTTATATTAATATTTATGAAACTCTTTTAAAAATATGTAAATATAAAACATTAAAAGCCACTGATACTAAATATTATCGTGAGAAAAAGAATGGATTGGTAGAACAAAAGGTGCAAAGAACTAGAGCGCGGGAAGAGATAGACAATAGACAGTTCAATCTGAGAATTGCATTGATGCCTCGACACTACTATCGTTTCGTATGCAATTGAATTTATGGCACCGTCATTATCGTGACTGTTAAAAGTCGGCGATTGCGTGTACGTCTGGAACTTCTGGCGGCAACTTGCCAGCAATTTTATTATCAATTGGAATCCCATTGATCGCTTCCCCGAGATGATAAACTGTTCTGTTCTCCTTTATCCAACGCGCGTTGATTGATCAATAACTCGGAAAACCCGGCACGGTAGGCACCACCTTACGTAGCAACCCTTACAGATCGTTATCTACCACGCGCACATTCTTCGCATATTTGTCTTCGGAAAATTACTCTCAGACTTATTAAAATGATAGGATGTACTGAAAACGTTGAAAAGATAATCGTCTGGATAAAAGAAAGAATGAAAAGGAAAAGAAACATCAAATAAAAAGAAGATATAAACGTACATATGTATGTTGGAAATTTTACGATCAAATCGTATTTTACTATCCTTACAGTAAATAGCATTCCGAATTAATAACAGAATGAAATGATTTCCAAAATATAGTTTTCAAGTATCCGTTCATTGTTCTTTCTGTTGATGAAATTTTTATTGAGAAATACTTTTCATACAAAGAGTTTATACCCTACTTTGCATGAGTCGAATACCAATGATACATCCACGACGTAAATAAATTTTGTAATCAGCGAGTTTTATACATCTTACTGTATATGCCATGATAGAAAGTTAATTACAATGTGTACAATGATAAAATATAGCTTAATTATGTAATATGATTAAATAAGATAATTATTATCTTTACGGTACCATGTTAAATAATATGCTTTTTATTTTACATTTTCGTCTAATTATTTATTTGACAACATTTATATTTTACAAGCAATTAAAAAAATTTTTTTGATAGCTCAGATCATAGAGAAAGCATGATTTCGTTGAAATATTTAAAAATTTAGCTAGACATAGATCTGATAATTTAGACCATCAAAATAAATGGAATACTTAAACGTCGACGATGTAAAAA